TGGATTGACGGTACCAATGTTAACTTTACGTACTGGGCGAAGAACCAACCAAACGGTTACCCTGGAGACCAGGATTGTGTTCATACACTGGGATTACGTCATGAATATCACTGGAATGACGTCACTTGTGGTTCCTGTCACTCATACACTTGCAAAAGAGGTTGGTTGTATTCATGTTACCGTAAGTTAGACGTCTTTTTTGGTTTTGGATATGTCATGTAAATTCTATGTTGATTTTTATTACCAAAACGTTGAGTATTCTTTTAATTTATGTAAGTTTTGACTTATATGGTAGAGTAAACGCACGAAAACCATGAAATAAAATCAAACTAAATACTAACAGCTAGAGACTGTTTAGAGACAATTTCTCAGTATCAACAAACCAGAACGCAATAAAGATGAATGAAAAGTGATCCCATGTGGATTCATCTTCATTGTGTTCTGGTTCATTGATACTGACAAACTGTCTCTAAAGCGTGGATTTCACTATAGCGCATAAGCATAGGCATAAGCACGAAGCTCGAGAGTCATATGCGCCAGTGAGAACGGGCTCAAAATAAGCACAAGCATGAGCACAAAAAAAAAAAACGAGCAAGGCGTAATCTTCTTGTGCTTATCTCATGCTTATCTCATGCTTATGCTCAGTGAGAACCGGACTGCATAGGCATAAGCATAGTCTGGTACCGAAATAATACGCTCGTGCGCACGCTCAATGTCTTATGCTTATGTCGAGCCCGTTCTCACTGGCGCATATGATTCACATGCCTGTGCTTATGCTATACTTATGCACTAGTGAAATCTACGTTTAAATAGCCGCTATTTGCTAGTATTTAGTTTGATTTCATTTCATGGTTTTCCTGCGTTTGCTCTATTGTATGTGAAAAGACAAAATCCTAAACAATAACGATAGTAGCTGCAGAAGGATCTGTCGTACGACTTCCATATATGATTGTGTATGCATGCACATGGCTCAACTTCGGACCCAGTGGTGCATAAGCCCTTTGACAAGCATTTCCACTTCTCTCGGTTCGCTGCTACTGCTCTTGCTTCCTCTCATGTACCAAATTCCAATTCCTTCATTTCTTTTCTGGATTATTTGTCGCCAATTTTTTATTGCTCTCTACCCTTTGCGTCTTCTCCCCTGCATATGGACATATATGTTATTTACCGGCTGTGAGATCCTTATAGGAAAACACTGCCCGAGGTCTTTACAATGTTTTTCCTTCAAGATATAAATGAATGTTCCGTTGTTGATTCTTGCCATCCTGACGCATTTTGCACAAATACAATTGGATCGTACATCTGCCAGTGCAATCCTGGTTACAATGGTGATGGACAATCATGCTCAGGTATTTTACACTGAGTTATCCATCATTTCACTTGGTTCATTTACTAACAAATACTTGATCTGCTTATAGATGTTGATGAATGCACTTCAGCTGTTCATACTTGTGATGCCAACGCGCAGTGTACAAATAATGTTGGGTCCTATGCCTGCAGTTGTCACCTTGGATTTAGCGGTAATGGGAGGAATTGTTCAGGTATATATAAACGACTGGTCCCCCTTTTCAAGTGTAAAGATTGGATAATAAATTGGATGGCTGATTTCTTGGTCAACAAAGTTTACGGAAAACTAATATTATATTTTTTGCAGATATCGACGAATGTTCGTCTGGTTCACATAGCTGTAATGCCTACGCACAATGCGCTAATACAGTTGGAACCTACACTTGCCAGTGTAACCCGGGCTATCATGGAGATGGATGGGCTTGTACAGGTATGACCAGTAAAATATGATCTACTCATGATGTTTTTTTATGGTCAAAGTCGACTTCGTCGGATGAAAATTAAAGACAGGCCTTCTAACTTTTTTACGTTTTAATTATTGCTTAACTAGTTTAACAATGTTTACTTTTTTCCTAGATGTCGACGAGTGCACTACAGGTTCCCATTCTTGTGATGCTAACGCACAATGTACGAATAACGTTGGTTCCCACACTTGCCAGTGCAACCATGGTTTCCTTGGCAATGGATGGACGTGCTCAGGTATTTACTGAATATATTAGCCGCGATTTTCATAACTTACTGACTTTGAGTTTGTTTTATAGATGTGGATGAATGCTCGACAGGTKCYCATACSTGTAATGTYAATGCACAATGTAYTAACACAGTTGGGTCATATAGCTGTCAATGTAACCTTGGTTTTCATGGCAACGGACACATGTGTACAGGTATAAACATTCTGCCTCCTTAATTAGTGATACCAACAAGTACGTTTTGATATCTATTGTTGCTCTATTAAAATAATTGCGCACGGTTTTGAGGTATATGTCCTCTTATTGACACACTCTTGACGTCATAAAATATTCAAAACTCAACTGCAAAATTGACTTGGTGTCAGCACAGTGTGCATGTCCTCTTATTGACTCACTGTAGTCAGCCAATCAGCGTTCGAGAATTTACACAAGCGTGTTAAAATTGTATTTATATACCAGATACCGATGAATGCTCTTCCGGAGTCCATTCTTGTCATGCAAATGCACAATGTACTAATACCATTGGATCTTACACTTGTCGTTGTAACAGTGGATACGAAGGTGATGGACTCACATGCAGAGGTGAGTAAAAAAGCATTCTTTCAAGGCTATACAGTTTTATATGCTAAAGCGATTGAAAGTGGCTCGTTATTTTTCGATTTTGAATCATTGCCTCAAATATTCCATTTTCCAATTCAAAGTGAACTGTCAGTAGATCGTACTCTTTTGGAAAGACCAAAACCGCACGAAAAAATGCGATTACAATATTACTAAATAATTTGGGACACTGAGGATTTTTTCTTTACATATCATTCATAGAAGCTAAATTTAGTTATTATCTCCATATAACTAATGATCAACCCAATTTAGTCAATGTATCATCCCACAAGTTTGCATTCCGAGCACTCGGCATCATCCATCGATTACAGTGTATTAGTATGAGGTGTCATATAGTAAAGTGTTCATACCACCAATACTCATTTCATTTCTCATATTAATATTTTACTGATGTTACTTCCAGCTTATCCAAGGTCTTGTAAGGATCAAAAGAGTACATTTCCCGCTTCATCATCAGGTTCTTACACCATTGATCCAGATGGTCAAAATGGAGAGTCACCGTACACAGTTTATTGTGACATGACTGACAAGAGTGGGGTGGGGGTAACGGTTATCAGCCATGATAGCGAATCAACGACTAGAGCGCACAACTGTCCTGGTTATCCAGGTTCCTGCATCCGATATGTTGCCTATACTGGAGCTTCTATCGCCCAGTTAGCAAAACTAACTGCAATATCTTCACAATGCGACCAATATATCGAATATCAGTGTACTGGTGATATTGTTTTTATTGAGGACTCGTATGCTTGGTGGGTGTCACGTGATGGTGTAAATCAGCACTACTGGGGAGGAGCGACACCAGGTAGCTACAAATGTGCCTGTGGTATGACAAACTCGTGTCATAAAGGCCGTGGATGTAACTGTCATAATAGTGGTGATATTGGGTGGCGCACTGACAGTGGTCTGCTGACTGATAAGTCCACTCTACCGGTGACAGAGATGAGGTTTTCAGATACTGATAGCAGCAATGAAGATGCTTATTATCAACTTGGTAAACTAAAGTGTTACTAACAGACGTCGTTGAACGTCAAAGAAATCATGATCAAAAGCAAATCACAAACAATATTGTCACTGAAGGACAATTCAGTACGTCCTCTGCATACTTAGAATCATGGAAAACCAGATCAAGAACAAACAGCTTTGTCTTGCAACCTAGTGCAATTAATCAGTTAAGTTGAAAATTATTAGTGAAGCACTAACAAACTTTGTTGATGTCACTCCCTAGAATTTACTTTGCCGTCG